CTTAGGTTATAAAAGGGTTGGGACTTCTTTTTGTGTGGGGTGTCGGTAGAGAATTAGGTACTCCCCGCAAAGGTACCCGGAGAGTGACACTCCGTTGCCGTAGCAGCCCGGCCGGAGGAACAACAGGTACCTCCGATTTTCAGTAGGTTTCCACCTGTGGCAGAGGTGCCTCCTTAGAGACATTACGACGGACCAGTGAAACCACCCTAGGGGTCTCCGTCTTCACCTCTATGTCCTCTGGATCTCTAACAAGACTACCTGTGACTGCGGGTAATAAACATGTGACACCATTTACATCGGACTCTCGGGACAAATGGGGCCTCGTGCACTCGCTCCCTCCTCAGACACGGCTTTGAGGACCTTGAGAGTGTTGACACTAGGTAGTACCCTGTCTTTCTAACCAGCATTTAACAAAAAACACAGAATCAGGAGATCCTTAAAGAAATCAGTTAATAATTACGAAGAAAAGGTACGACTTACTGAAAAAATGGTGCATGAATGTGTCGCATAGACGTCCTAGGACTTCAGTCTACATTTGGAAAATTCTGGAAAAAACCTCTGGGGAAAGGTATGTAAAATTCTGAGTAGAGTTGAAACCCAAAAGGATTGGCCCAATGGAACCCGCTGTGTGAAATTGGTACTAGTTAGTTACCTGAACTATGTGACCTTAGAAAAGAGGAAACCAAGATATTTAGGATCAACAATGATTGTATTTATAGTTGAACCTGCCTTTCATGAAGCATATTCAGCTGATACACCAACACTGAAACACATGAGCACGTAGTACGGTTTAAAAAAGCAGAAATAAAATCTGAGCTGACGTTTTAGTTTAACACACACAGTTAAGCTCACACACACTATTTGATGAACGTATAGGTTCACCTGCTGAATTTAAAACAGAACAAATGAAGCAAAGAAAGTAGAAGTATAGATTCTCACTTAAAGTATTATCCTACAGAACAGAACAGCTGACAGAGAAGAGACAACATCTGATCCTTTACAAAACACACTATATGATATTTTTACTTGGTCAGTAATAATAATAATACTTATACTCAGTTTCATAAATGTAAGAGTAATCTGATTATTTGTATGTAACTGTAAGGGAATACAATTACCTGTTTTTGTATCCTGATTATCTAAACCCATTACATGTAACCCGTTACTCCCCAAGCCTGCATCTTATTTAACAATACAGCTATTATCCCATCTTGATTTGCTTTGAGTATTTTATTTTTTTATTGTGGCTCGGGGAGGACGGTGTAAGTGTTTCATTAAAGAAGGGGACAAGTGTTTGTGGAAACGCTCAGATGCACGGGGACGCAAATGAACCTTGACATTTTGAGTTTAGTTCCTCGGGATTTGGTGAATCATCACCACGTGGGCCATGAGGGGAGGATGAACCGAGCTCTTTTCTGTCTGTGCTGCCTTGCCTTGAGATCATTCGAAAAATGGATGTGTGTGTGTGTGTGTGTGTGTTTGGGTCGTCAGATTACACTTTATGCTCAACACTTGGCGATTGGTTGGGTTTCCCATGCTGTCGAATCTCTGCAGTGTTGCAGCTGTGTGCTCTGACAACAGCTGTGGGACGGAAAAATAAAATACAGAGGAGGGGTGTGGGGGGACAAGCTTTAATCATCAAAGTGTTTTTGTTTGGTTTGGTCTGAAATGTGACATCAAGCTGGTCTTGGTCAAGCATCTGTTTTTTTACAATTTCCCCTTCTTTTGAATTATGTTTTAAAGAGGCCTTATTACACTTTGGGGTTTTTCCCTTTTCCTGTAGTGTAAGTTTTTGTGCATGTAAATGGTCTGTTCCCTCCAGAGGTAGTTTATCTTGATTAGTTAGGAAATGGATTGTCGAAATCTTGCATATATTAAAACAAAACATGGCAGTTTGTTGAGGAAATTCATCAAGAAGAAAATATTCTGTGACTGAAAAAACCCCCAAAAGCCTCATAATGTAGATCAGGGTGAATAATCCCAACTTTGTTAATGGCAACCAAGCATAAAAAGGCCAGCGGTCACCATGTTTCTCTTTCCATAAAACAGTGGGAGGTAAATGAAAAATTAAAGAGCTGAGGAAGGAGGCAGGAGGAATGTTTAAAACCCTGGGGTAAGACCACACTCAGCATGTGGGGCGGGGAATCCCCCTCTCTGAGGAAATGGTTTAACCCATTTAAGGCTTGCTGAGTTCCTCTGCTTCAGACCACAGCTGGGATTGTTTCAGACTTCGTAAAAGTCCGTAACGAGCAAGCAACTCTGGGTTTTTTCTTGTTTTATTCTCTATAAAGAGCAAATCTGTTGCTGTGTGTGTCTGCAGAGGGCTACTAGATGTTTGTGATCGTGAGGAAGTAGTGAAACGGCGGAAGTCATCCGTGCAGAGAGGAGAAGTTTGGCCTGATTAGAAAACCTCAGCCTGGTTACTGTCGCCCTTTCAAGTTTCCTCATGAAATGTTTCTGCAGTTCAGAAAGTAACTACATGTCTGCTGATAAAGGGATATGGGATGTCAAAATGCAATGCAGATTATGGGGTTGCCGTTAAAAATCTATTCATTATTGTCATGCTGAAGAAAAACTACTTTAATGACGATATATTCTTCTAATTTCCAGGTTTTCTTTTTGTATTTTGTGTCTCGACTGGGACTTATGCTTTAATATTAAGAAAAGGTCTTTATTTTTCTCATACTGCCTCTTTTCACCCTCTGTCTGAAACCAGAGCCCAGGCTGCTCTGATTGGTTAGCTGGCCGGCTCTGTTGTGATTCGTCAACCGCTTAGAGATGTCCAGCCCCTTCACTTAGAGATGTCCAGCCTACCACGTGCAATGTGTTGGAGCTCTAGCCAACTCATGTGTTACATATTGATGTCGCTATATTCAAGAAGTAAACACAGGAGTCCAATGGAGTCGTTTAAATTAGGGAGGGAGTGGGTGGGAGAGACACTCTTGGGATATTAGCATTAGCAGACCATTTACATGCACTAAAATCTATACAACACACTAGTTTGACTTCCCCAGCTTCTCCTCATCCTCACATTATAACAGGAAAGATGCTTGTTCCTTTTCTGATGAAGTGAAGCTGGGTGTGGCTCTCCACCGTCAGCCTGTCATCATCTCTGCGATCCCTCCGAGGAAAGGCACCGCAGAACTTCACTGAAGGCATGGCAGATCTGTCAGATGCATGCGTGTCTAAGTGCCATGCTTTGAGCCTCTCTTTATTCTCCTGCATCTGGATCTGAAGAAACCTCTCAGTATTTCATTGGTTAAAAGCCCACACGTCGGCTTCATCAGGACAATTATAGCCTTCTATTTCTGGCAATAACGGCCACAAAAAGACTATTAAACATGCAGTTACTGTTGATTCTCTTTACCAATGTCTCTAATAAATCCATGCGTTATGTTTAAATGTAGAATTGCCTCATATGCTCTTTCCAAAGGTAGACCATTCTGGCTTTTACAAAAGCTGAAAACACTGTAATTTGTGTTTCCCATAATGCTTTAAATAAGGGCTGCAACCAATGATTGTATGTATTGAGTATTCTTTCAAGTAAACATTGAATGTGTGTTTAATGACCAAAATAACAGGGAAAAGTCTCCAGTCCAAAACTCCAAAATATTCAATTAACAATGAAAGCAGCAAACCCTCACATTTTAGAGGAAAATAACAATGAATCATCAGCGTTTTGCTTGACAAACAACATTGATTAGCAAATAACTATTATCAATCAATTACTATTGATTTATTTCCAGTTGACAGAGTAGTCACTTCATTGACTAATGGTTTCAGCGCTGGTGCGTCGAGGAACTTTCTGCTAAGTATTTAGAGTTGCTCTTGGGAAAAGCTATATATTAAAAACACTAAAGGGGCTCTATTTTGCTTTTGGGGGTTGTCCCTTTCCTGTAGTGTGTTATATACAGCATGTAAATGGTCTGCAAAGGCTACAATCCCAAAGTTCCCTCCTTTGTTTACTTCTGTAACATCAGACATCACTATGTAACACTCATGGCTAGCACTCCAACACATTGTACGTGATAGGCTAAGGGGCGGGACATCTCTAAGCTGTTGGCCAATCACAACAGAGCCGGCCAGCTAACCAATCAGAGCAGACTGGGCTCTGGTTTCAGACAGAGGGTGAAAAGAGGTGCTGCAGCACAGGCAGTATGAGAGAAATAAAGAGCTTTTTGAACATTAAAGCATCGAGACTAGAGCTGAATGATTAATCAATTTTAAATCGAAATCGCGTTTTTTTTTAGCCTGCGATTTTCTTTAACAATTATTATTTTTTTTTTTTGTTCTTGTGTGTCAGTCATCCACAACAATCAGAAGTGCTGTGCTCCACATGTACCAGCCATTGTTAACCAATCAGAAGTGGCCCATGATAGAAGGTGATAGACAGATTGATCCAATCACCTGCCAAGTATTTTTGAAAGTGCCTGCCCTTTCCAAATGGCTTCCAATGGAGCTCTCCTAGATGGTTTGGTGAAACCATCTGAGTCAGGTTAGTAATGCTCCATCACATGTTTCTATTACAGGGTGAATCTTAAACTGAAGCTTGACTTTAAAGCAACCCAACAGAAGTTTCATGTAAGTTTAGTTCTTTCACTCGTAGCTCGGGCTGCGGGGGTGCTAGAGACGGGAGCACGTTGAGACCTTCCTAGCCGGAGATATGGCCGCATTTTACAATAAACTTCCGTTGGGTCGCTTAAAAACAAATATCGCAAATCGAATCGCAATATTTGTCAGAAAAATTGCAATTCGATTTTTTTCTCCAAATCGGTTGATGATATTCGCTCTTCTTTTTCTGACTCACCTTTACTCACCGCTGGGTCACCAGACCCTCCCTTCACCCACACA